ATCAAGTAAATTTAAAAATCATATATATTTTTCTTCCCAATTGTTTGATCTTTAAATATTCCAGTACACCCTTGTTAATTATTTGGGTATTATTAGATGTTAACAGTTCAAACACTTTGAAAAAAAATGCCAGACTCTAATACTAATGTTATTTTTATTCAAATTCTGCTATGAGGCCAAAAAAAAAGGTCATTAACTCCTTCACAGTCAAGTCCTAAAATTGTAATTTTGGAATGAAGAATTCAGTGTTTTTATTGATTGCTATATCACTAAGTACTAAGACTTAAATGATTATTTTTCAACTACCAAAATCTTTAAAAAATTAATAATTAGAAAAGATTATTTATGTGTGCACTGAAAATATCACTCTTTATATAGGGGAGATTTGGTATTTTCCCCATTGAATATTTTGGCTACCTACAAAACATCTTTATTTTGCATTTGGTCAGTTTCTGATTCTGCTTATAATACAAAGCCAAATTACATCTAATAATATAAAATGCAAAACATAATTCTTTAGAAAGAAGAAACAAAGACAACAATAAATATAAAGCAAATCTTATGAATAATTTTTACTTTGCAAAAGTGAATGAAGTAGAGTTGATTGCAGTTGTTAAAGAATCAATAGCTATGAGATTTATACATATTTCTCATTTTAGATTTTTCTTATTTTTCTTTGAGTCTATAGACACCTCAGGGTAGGAGGGTGCATTTTGGGGGGGGGGAGGGAAGTCTTCTCATAGCAGCACAGCTATGCTATAGCACAGACAATGTTATTTATCATAAGGAATATTATCATATTTATCATAAAGGAAGTCCTAAAGAGAGTTGGAAGGAAACAGCATTCTCCACTCTAGGCAAGACAGACAGACCTTTATAAAGAAGTCTCCTCTAGAAGATTCACCCTGGGCTTATAAAGATTCCCTCCTAAGGACAAGATGATGGAATATGGTCTTTCACAGAGCAACTCTGAGCCTTTGGCATTGAGGATGTTCTGAGAAAACTGCTGCAGTTTGTAAGGACTGCGATCATCTAGCAACCAAACAAAGTCTTGATGAAGTGAAAGTAGAATCTTATATGTTGCTAGATGTATTTATAACACATTCCATTTAGTCCTTAAGCTTTCTTTAAAAGACAGTGTTTTCTGTACAGCACGTCTCAAACTTTTATCTACCCTTAGATAGATCTTAAGAGCAAATATCCAAGTGTTTTGGCCACCTCCAGATCAACATGATAGTCTTTTTCCTTTAGTGAAAGCTAAGAAGCAGAAAAAAAAATCTGCTCTCTTATTTATTGGTCACAAGAAATTTTAGGACTATTTAAACTAAATTAAAATATCTAATCTAAGCTCTGGGAGGACACAAGTTTTTAGTTAAAAAAGGGAGCATCAGAAGTGATGGAAAAATGACTATATTTAGTTTGGTGCATGCATTAGGCATAATGGGAGAAAAAATATATTTTAACTTCCTTTTTTTTTCTCTGCAATTCCACAGCAATACCAATAAGGACAGCATAAATGTCACTGAATTCTTACTCAGAAAAATGTTAAAATATAATTTTTAAAATAACTCAAGCCCAAGTAAGCTATCCTGTTGTATATACAATGCAATACCTTGTCAGTGTGTTGCTGTTTACAAGTGTTAAAGACAATTTCCCTTCAGCATTCAACTGGTGCAAATTGATTTCATCTCTGAAGATATGGAATGACTCTGGGATATTCAGCTCCTCCAATATAAACCTTGTCTCCGTGAAGTAGCTGAAGTCTCTTCTTGGCATGTTCAACACTGGTAAGCAAAGAACATCAGGAGGACTGACCTGTAATGTAGGTGCGTATTTGTCAGAGTTGCATAAAATAAGACCTGTTTTTCATTAGTAAGACATTTTAACAGTCTGAGCAATTAGAAACTGTTTGAATTTTCCATTCAATATTTCCCCCTTTTACTTTAGTCTTTAAAAACAAGGCAGAAACAACCATCTTTCACTTCTTTTCTTGTTCTTCTGTCTCTAGGTAAATCCAGCAGAGTTGTTGGGAAACTAGGAGGGAGAAGGTATATATACAGTTGCAAAAAAACTCGCTTCTGTTTTTCAGGAAAAGATTGTTTTCTTTAAAATTCTGTAAACACAAATTGACGATGTTTGGGTTCATTGGACTCCAATGTCTAAAGCCCTGACACTCTTAATCAAACTCTGCTTTTCCGACAATGGATGAAGATGTAGATCTATCAACATATACACTTAGACAAGTCACTTTACTTCCGTAAATAACCTCCTGATTGAAGTCAGCCAATATCACCAACTTCAGCAGGGCCAGGAAGCCATTTTCTTGATCTCACTAAGCTTTTATAAAAATGGAGAGAAGACCTTTACATTCTTTGACTGTGATTGTTAAGACAACAAATTCTTCAGGTCACTGGCTGTCTTTCAGAGTGCCCACATTCAATGCTTAGCATAACAGGACCTATCTCAGTAAGGACTTGTGAGTGCAACTTTAAATACTAATAAATAACAAGCAATTAATAATGATCCATCCTGCCTCCAACAGTCTAATAAAAGCAGTTACCTAAAGATCTGTGATTTGCATTGCAGGCCTTGTAATCCATTCCAGTGCTGAGAAGACTTGCAGGAAATCTATGCATAACTTAAATCAAATGTAACTGATATATATACCATGTGCTAGCAAATGCACAGGAGTGATTTTTGCTTCTACTGAATAAGCCACCCACTCTATACCCACTCATTAATTTTTGTATGGAAAGAAATCTAGATTGTTTCTATTTAAAAATCTCACCTTTGATTATAACAAAATAATTGTCCCAACTCTAATGTTTTTACAGTATGCTTCCATTTGCTTAACAATAAGATGTCTGTAACAAATGAGTTATAATCCCTCTGTCCATTTTTTTCCATTACCTTGTCTAGAAAGTAGGCATAGGCCAGAGCAGAAATGAGAGAATCCAAATCACAGGATTTATTCCCAAGAACGACATGGACTTTCTCCAGGTGTTTGCTCCTGTTCTGTAACACATTAGAAGACAATTGCAACAAGTAACAATGACAAAAAGAACCCCCCCTCCCAAAAAGACACTTCAAAACACAAGTTAAGTATCTAGATATTGCCCTTAGTTGTAACGTTTTTCACAGTTTGCCCAAAGAATGCAGTCACTGTGGGATCAGACATGTTTCCTTGGCTTCATAGCTCCAAAGCAAGCCAAATAAATTTAGGTTATATAAAGGACTCATGTTTAGAACCTAAGGACTAACCGGACAGAATTCCCTTTAAGTAGCAGATAACAAATAAGCAACTTCATGCATACGTGGAAAAAGTTATTGAAAACACTTCCCAAATCTAATAAGAAAAGCAGTGGAAATACACACAGCAAACCATACATAGCAATTTCTAATTGTAATTTTCCCTGTTTTCATCACTTGGTTAAAATCAGTAACTAGACAAAGTAATAGGCTTTTGTCCTGACCCTTCAGAAGCTGAACACACCCTGTGAGGTACCGAGGGTTTTGCGTTCTCCTCATTGCCAAAGGGAATTGAGTATGTTCAGCATTTAATAAAATGAAGAGTCTCCCTGTCTATCTTCTTACGTACATCATTAATGCCAAGCTAACTGCATGAAAATATTCCAGTTTATTTTCTTTTAATGAGCTATGCTTCTTAATTTGAGAAGCATATCTGACTGATACTAAGATACATGTCTCAGAACCAACCACATGCAATTAAACATTGTTGTTGTTGTTATTAACAAAAAGCACTTCAGCCTTTACACTTTTTGAATTAGCATTCTGCATTTTATTGAGTAAAATCCTAATCCTTCTATAGAAGGGTATAATTAGTATATTATCCTCAAAAATTATAACTGTGTCATTTTTTAAAGCAAACTTTTTTCTTTGTGCGTCTAATCTGGGTACAAGGAAGATACTTAGTTCTCTTTTCATTATATGGGACACAGTCATGAGAATACTTTTGGGTAATAAAACCAGGACAAATATTCTCCATTCCATACGTATTGGGAAAGAAACTATATAAAGTAGAGAGCTTTCTGAACAGTACAGTGTCTGGTATAGGCCTTCACATGCAGAAGACTCTGTTTATAAGATATTCCCTTTATCAAATTGTTCTTGTGCAGCATACATTTGACTGGTCTGTCGACCGAAAGAATGAATAAAAGATTCATGAGCTCATGCTTTTCTTAATGTTTTTCAATGTATAGAAGCTTTTTTCTTTAGCTTCTTCCCAAGTACACAGCAGCTGACATAACCTAGAAAAAGGAGGAAAATGAATGGAAAATGAATGGAAAATGAATGGAAAATGAATGGAAAATGAATGGAAAATGAATGGACTGTTAAATCTACAAAGTCGCTCATCTTTAGGAATCCAATGCAACCAACAACATCTAAAATTTCAAGCCATCTGATGCTATTCTATATCTACGTAATCTGTATCTATAAAATGATTTGCTTCCTTGCTCATATTCCAAAAAGCACTACCCCACATAGCACTAGTAAGGATCCTCAACAGCAATCCGAGTTTCAGTGACAAACGTCAGCCCCGTTCATCAGGCCCCATACTGGTTTCTTCTGAAAAATTAAGAGATTTTTTTGGTGTTGTCTTCAAAATCCATTATGGTGCTCTAGAGCACTAAAGTTTGCACACTTGTTTTTAAAACTCACATGTTAGCAGCAGCTTTGCTACAGAGACACACTGCAGCTCTAAAACGGTAGAAAATTATGTGGGAGATGACCAAGAACTACCGACGGGCCCTATCCCTTCTCCATAATCCAAATAAATCAATGAGCCATCTGAAGTCTAATCGTTAACTCCAGCACACCAATAGTTCAGGCAACATAAGAGAACCAAAACAGATTGTGGAAGGAGAGGCAATTTCCATTCTCAAGAGCTTAGCAAGAACAACTCTGAGCTGGAGCTTACAACTGAGTCTAATATAGCAGTAGGTAAACCAACAGTGAGGGGGTGTATTTCTTGGCTGGGCTGTTAACCATATTAAACTTCTGAACTACTAACTTCTTCCAGAACATTTCTGCCCAAGACTCTTACATGTGCAATGGAGGCTACAAACTAGCTACTGTCAACTCTTTTCCAAAGGAAAGGGAATGAAAAACAAATTTCTGAAGGCTCTGGGTGGTGTCTGTAGCAAATCGCCTTTCTCAGGTCACTCTAGAGAGGACAGAGTTTTTGTTTCATCTTTTGCTAATGGTTATTTTAATGACACTGCTTCTCCCTGGGTGAGAATCTTTTCATTTGCACACTACTTCCCCACTTCACTCCTTAATCACTCATTTGTGAGTGTTTTTTGCAATGGGCTTTTTCTAATGAGTGTTATTCCACAAATGTAAAAATACAAAGTCAAACTGTAAGCTGTCTTATATTAAATAAGTATATAGAACAAATATCCTTTCTACATTTCTTAAATTATCCCAAATTAGAGCAAGTGTGTGTGTATGTGTACATGTGTGTATATATATATGTATGTATGTATGTACACACACAGTTTATATCTCCCTGCCTTGCACAAAATAAAATTTTATTTCTAGAAACTAACTTTCTGGACTCATGCTTTAAAATACTGCTGCTGTTGCAATTACGATGGGGTGAGGGTGTTATTTGGGTTTGGTTTTTTCTGGAGGGTAGGTAAGACACGTCTCTCTCAGTACTTCTCTAACCGTCCTGTGTTCTGCAACAAGCTATTTTCAGTAAACTTGTATTCTTATCATGTTTGATGACAACATGTTCTTATTAAGGAAGACTCATTCAAATTTTTATTTCACAGATTTTGAGATTAAAACAGGCCTTCAGAGCAAAGCAGCAAAGAAAGTCTGTTCTTCACATTCTGATAACATAAGGCACATTGATGAGAGAGGGACATGACTCTACATCTTGTTTCTCCAGTCTGAAGAGTTTTGTTCATTAAAAATAGTGTGAAAGCACCATTTTTGAACAGAGGTATCTTCCACTACCAAAATTATGTATTATCATGCTAATTATTAATAATACAATAAATTAGCATTACTAAAGTTGTAGGATAAGTCTGGCCATTTAATTCTTCCTGTGCTCATTTACAAGCACAACATAATCAAAACAATTAAAAATATCACTCTATTTCTACAGAGCACAATTTAGTCAAAAGATGCACTTGCGATTATGTTCTTAAATGAAATCCTCCATTTTCAGAACAATTATTCTTATCCACAGAAGTAATCTGTTGTCCTGAGACAAATACATTTTTGGAAAACAGTGTAGATTTGACTAGATGATCTCCAGAGGTCCCTTCCAACCTAAACGATTCTGTGATATGCCATAGATCAAGCTTACAAACGTAGTACCAGCTACAGTTAGAAGTCCCATCCTAGTGTTTGCTATACGTAGGGGTGAAGTTAACAGGAAGATAGAAATGCCAAGTTAAGCAGATCCCCTAAGCGCACACATGAAACTCCAGTCTATAGACAAGAGCTATGCCCTATGTATTGGCCCAAGGAAACCTACAGTAAACCACATAAAAAGGTTCATGCTATCCCTGTCCCGGGTCAGCACATAAATGCTGAATTATTTCCCTTCCCACTCCCCACTGATAACCACTTAAATAATTCATCAATATGTAAAGATCACACTTGCATAACCTATTCAAGTGGACCACATTTATTATCCAAGCATCTTTATTATTTGACCCAGGTATTTATGCCAGAATTGCAGTCAGTGATTTTATATTCTAACAGATTACCTGGACAACTACACATCTTCCCCTTCCTATTTTAATGCAGGAAACATTCTTGCGCCAATGACACAGACACTTTATCTATCAAAAGCCTGGTGATGATCAAAGTGATATACTAGTTAGAGCAGGTTAAATATTCTTCTATCCTGTGCTGGATGGACAACGTCAGGTCTGTGAAAAAACACGATCAGCTAAGAGTCCAACTCCACCAACCTGCAAGTGATATAAAATTCAGCACTACAACAAACATTCACCTTAGCACAAATGGGTGCTCTCTACCAGTTCTGCACATATGCCCATGAAAACAATTTTTTTTAACCTCCCATCTGATTTGCAGAATTTTAGACAGAGGCTCTAAAAGTCAGTACTTTCAGCATGACGCCACTGCCTCAGCTAATCATTATTGGCAAAAAGACACTACCATCCATGGATAAAACAAATCATGATACACTCCTTCAGGAATAACCAGGTCTTGCAGTCCATAACCACAGCATGGCTTACTACAATTTTTAAAGTCATTAAGAGCTAGCAAAAAAAGAGGGTACTGATGGATGTGAAGCTATATTAAGGGAAATAATTGAAGAAATTATTACAAAAATATTTTCATATTGATTTAAATGATTTTTTAAGATCAATGGGACACTCAAAACAACCTTTGTTTTCATCTTCCAGGGCTTAAATTGACCATAATACTATAAACAGTGCACTGCACAGAACAATTGTTCCCCAAGACATGCAGCCTTTTTTTTATATTGGGAACAAAGCCATGGTATTCCTCTCAACTCTCACATCAAATAACGGTTTTCAAAGAGCATACAAAAGAAACAGCATCGTCTCACTCAGGCGACAACTTCAACTTTGAAAGACTTAAATGGAAAGTTTCCTCTGCTAACTTAATTCTCCCAGCCTTGGAAGAGGCGATACCATCTCCTCAGCTTCTATGGCTGTTCCTGGTTCAGAAACCAACATGACACTAGCACACGCTAATGTCTGTTTATGTGACTTGATTCCTTAGCTTCCTTTTCTAGATCAAGGCACAAGGTAGACCTTCCCCAGACAGTCCTCGCATGCTATTTTGGAGAATGGCTTTTTTTTTTTTGGTCTTTCTTGACCTCTGCTCTTCTCTAAGCATAATTTTATTCTCTTCCTGCAGGTACAAGGCTGATTTCACAAGCATTTCCTTTTCTCATGTGCAGCTCCCTGGATGACTTTTTATTATCTTACTGATTCTTATTATTAACAGCCTCCCAAAAGTTACTGTACCACCTCTATACT